GAAAGCCTTTGTTTTTGAAGTTTTAGCTATTTTTCCTATATAAAAAATGTAATTCTCATGTATTTCCCAGAGTATAAGTGAGTTAATGAGGAAGGGCTCTTATTCAGAGAAGCTGAAAGTGTCTAAGTTCAACAAGCTTAACGGTGAGCTAGTTTAAAGAAGGCAATTACAATACCTTGTTCCGATATGAAGCAAAGTTATTTAAAAGAGTTAATCTAATACCTAATCGAATAACATGAAAAATCTACAGTCTAAAGTCTTTGAACACAAGTAGAGTCTGAAATGTTTTTTTGTTTTTTTTTTGGACATCAGACTGATTTAAATACAAACATGTCTGGATGATGACAGGCCTGTGGTGGATAAAGAACATTCTGACCTAACAAGAGAGGGTAATGATTACGGTCTGGAGGAAGACTGTGAGTAGTGGCCTTATCTATGGCCTACAGGAAGCATTTCTGTTCTAAATCTGAGGGTTTAAAGCATAACACCGGCTGTGAATGCTTTACTGAAAGTAGAAGCACTAAAAGTTGAGGCTGCTAGCAAAGTACAAATTAAGAAAAGAGAAATGCGGCCAGTTGTTCAGCCAACGCCATAGGGATATTCCACTTAGCTCCATTTTTGGCTCCCAGAGACCCATAGTGACCTTCTGCAAGCAGTATTGGTGTGTACATAGAATTTTGCAAAAGTATAAAAGTTTTTACTGAGTCTATCCCACCAATTTTACCCTTTTTGTCCAGAAAAGTTAGCCAAGCTTTTTAATAGAAGCCAAATAGTAATCAAGTTCAAATCCACTCAGTAAGATTCTAAATAAAACAAGCAGTATATGTATACATTACAACCATTACAGACCTCGTCATCAGAAGGTTTGCATGTATTAAAAAAGGTTCAAACCTGTTTGTACTCCCAGAGCAGATATTCAAAGAAGGTGCAAGGTGATTTGAGTTTGCGGTTCAGCAGAAAGCGTATGCAAACCTTTTTTTTACGTTTCTGTGTTCATAAAAATGCAGATGATATTCTATCGACCAAACCGTAGAGGATCTCCAAATTAAAACACCATACGCAAAGCTATTATTGCCACGATGGCAGAAGATGGATGGAGGGTTATTCTGTGTGCATTGAAACATATTCAAACCATAAGAAATAGCAAAAGTAAAATCATGTCAATAATTAATTCAGCAGCGTGGCAGAAAAATGAAACCAAAGCGTAAACAAAAAAAGGCTGAACTTTAATATAGTGGCATGTTACTAAGAAATAAAAAATCTAAAAACATGCAAAGAGATAATGGGGGACGTGTTGCTCATCCCCACAATGCTGTTTTTCCTCCCTCCATTTAAAACATAACTCTGGACGAATCCTGGTTATTCAAATCGTCTTTAAGTTTTATTTATGCTTTACTTTGAGAAAGGTTACCTATGCAAGCTGCACTCTGAGTGTTATTATTACATTCTTTTTTATAATGATCATTATTATCTCCAAATGCATGACTTTGAACCTCATCATTCTTTTAGGGCCACTCTTAATATTCCTGTAAAACATTCAAATTGCTCATTTTATGGGGTAGAACCCAACCAGTTAGCACATCTTGACTCAACCCCGATCCTTCTAGAATGCCTCAACACGCCTACTTTTTCCATCTTTTAAAAATAAAATTGCAAATGCAATTAAATCCCCAGTATTTGGAATATTTCACAATCAGGCCCTGTGTGTAGATGTAGTGTTCACAGTGTTTTCATCACTGCTGCTTGCCTTTATCAAGGTTGCACTTTAAAAAATTAAACAGTCTAGAGAGTTGTACTAAATAAAATAATAAAACAAATTACAAAATAAAATCTGTCTAAGTCTAAATGTAGTTTAGATTGATCCAACCTGTCAAAATAACAACTAAAACTATAAATGAAAAGGCCATAAGGAAATTAGACTCATAATAAATCTTTGTGCAAAGTTATTTTTGGAATAATATTATGATAAATGTCATGTAGAGATTTTTTTTAAAACAAAAAGGGGCAAAAATGACTTCCAAGTTTTAAAATCTATGAATGTTTAGGAAAGCTGGAAACTACCAAAGGTGTAAAGTAATTTCATGTGTGTATTTTATGAATGGAGGTTAACATCATTAGTACATTATGGCTGCATATGTGAGATAACAGCTGTGGCTCTCCCATCTCAGAAACAAATAGCAGCTTTTGGCTTTTGGCCCTTGAACAAACTTTGAACATGTGTATGAGTGTGGGCTGGCTAAGGGGGGTGCTGGTATGTGCACAAGGACTGCTCAGATTGTGGGAACAGACATCTGTTTACACAATAAAGTTGGAGAGATCCGTAGAAACTGTTTTCCGATATTAAAACTGGAATCATTTTGAGTTTGTGTTTTGAAACATTCGTGAGATTCATATTTCTTGCTATGATGAAATGTGGAAATAGGTTTATTTCCTACAGATTGCTGAGGGGTGCTAACGGTTTTCCTTCGCTCTTCAAGGACGCTGTATCTAATCAACCAAACCTCACCAACACTGGACAGTGGAAACACTGTTGCTGTTTTAGTTGGCTTAGTTTCTGCTTGCATCGGCTTTGAGGCCTACACTGTTTGTTTTCCCGCAGCAGCTGATAAATTCTGAGCTGAAGAACGCACTTCGGCGATGAGGCAAGCTATCAGGCTTTCACAGGCATGACATTTTTATGCTTAAACAAACTGTTTATACGACTGGCTTGACATTCATTTGGAAACAGATTGTGTGTTCGATACAGCATTGACTTCAAAGTGTAATTAGGAGCTGGAAAGACACCAGATCTGTTATGCAACTACATCCTAGTGAACGCCTCCTGCTCTTGTCCTCATTACAGCAGAGAAAGCTAAATGCACTGCGCAGCAGCTCTACGTGGCTGTGATGTCATGGTTTGGAACAAAGAGGGGGAAAACAGCTGTTGAAATCCCTGACTCATCAAATGGGAGGGAGGGGAGGAGGAGCTGCAGGTAAAGGAACAGAGATCTGGATGATTACTCAGTTTTTCCATTAGGCCAAGGCTGGCCATCTGAAAGAAAAACAGCAGTGGATGTCACATTAGGCCATGGTGACAATTGGATGGCCTTCGGCTTAAGGGAGATGTCTGGATAGAGAGGCTGCTTTGCCCACTAAGTCATCAAACACAGCAGAGGTCAGACTGTATGTGTGGGTTATCTTCCCTATTTAATATTTTCTAACCAGATCAACAAGCCTAAAGGCTGAGGCTAATGTGGATGACTCTTAACTTTCTGCTCCTGATTACAGACAAAACAGAAGTTATAGTCTTTGGACCAGAGTCTTTGACAAAGAAGCTGATTAGTCAGTCACTTCATTTGGATGGGATTAAACTGATATCAGATAATAAAGTATTAAAATCTTGGTGTTGTTTTTGATCAGGACCTGTCATTTAAATTATACATCAGAGAGGTTTTTAGGATTTCCTTCTTTCATCTGCAGAATATTGCAAAAATGAGAAATCTCCTGTCCAGGGGTGATGCTGAGAAACTAGTCCATGCATTTGTTACTTCAAGGCTGGACTATTGTAATTCTTTACTATCAGGAAGTCCACAAACTGTAGTTAAAAGCCTTCAGCTGATCCAAAATGCTGCAGCCAGAGTTCTGATGAAAATGAAAAAGAGAGATCATATCTCTCCTATCCTGGCTTCTCTTCATTGGCTTCCTGTTAAATCCAGAATAGAATTTAAAATCCTCCTTCTCACACATAAAGCCTTAAATGGCCAAGCTCCATCTGATATCAGAGATCTGATTGTTCCTCATGTTCCTAACAGAGCACTTCGCTCTCAATCTGCAGGTTTACTAGTTGTTCCTAGAATTTCTAACAGTAGAAGGGGAGGCAGATCTTTTAGTTATCAGGCTCCTCTCCTGTGGAACCAACTACCAGTTTTAGTCCGTGAGGCAGACACCCTGTCTACTTTTAAGGCTAGGCTTAAAACTTTCCTTTTTTGATAAAGCTTCTAGTTAGAGTGGCTCAGGTTATCCTGAGCTATCTCTATAGTTATGCTGCTATAGGCTTAGACTGCTGGAGGACATAGGGACCCCTTTTCATCATTCTGCTTCATTCTATCTCTATTCTCCCTCTCCGTAGAATCTGTTGGTTCAATCTCTAACCTCATCTCTTCCTGTTTGGCTGTGACTCCATCCTGGAGTCACTGCCAAACGTCATACACGCAAGGCTTTGTTTATAAAAGATATAAATATAAAAAATATAACCGCGGATGTCTGGGGGACAGTGATTCGCCTACATGTTCTGAATGCTGGCGTACCATAAAGAATAAATTATGAACAGTTTAGTTTGTGCCCTTAAGTTGTTGCCCATAGGAAGACTTACTTGGATATAACCTAACGGAATATCTTCAGAACGGCTCCAAATGACACAAAACTAATATGGATGAGTAGAACATGATGTAATAATGTAAAATCAAGGGCCAAATGTAAAAAAAAACAGTGTTCCCCTTTAAAAGGGAGTTTTTCCTCACCACTGTCGCTACAAGCATGCTTAGTGTGAGGGATTGCCCTCGAGTCAATGAATTGATGCAATCAACTGGTTTTCCTTATGTAGAAAACTTTAAATCAATTTGACTGTATGATCTGGTGAACTGTAAAGAGCCTTGAGATGACATGTGTTGGGAATTGGTGCTATATAAATAAACTGAACTGAATTGAAATGATTGAGCTGTAGAAACACTCTGCATTAGATTGCAAGTGTGAAGTCGCAAGATTATATTTTCAATATATAAACAGATTAGGGTAAATTCCCAAGGTGGGGACTTGGAGGTACTTGTAAAGACCAAGCAGTTGGTTTTGAATGGGAAAAGTTAACTCCTTGAGTCGGGGTTGGGTTAGGTTTACGGTTAGCTATGTGTTGGTACTGAATAGGGTTAGGGTAAGGGTCTGAGTTAGGAAACAAATGGGAAATGAATGGAATGTCCCCATGAGGATAGAGGGACATAACATGAGTTATGATATGTATCACTCACGTTTTATGTCACAGGTTAAGGTCTGACTCTGTGAAATAGGTGAGGAAAAGGCTCATTTGGGGGAGAGAGCGACCCTCTGCCCTGGGCTGAGTTGTCCAGCCATTTGTGGCAGATGTTCCACTGCACTCCAAAGCTGCGAAGTCATCTTCCCACTGCAAGCCTGAAGAGAAAAAAACATCCACAGTTAGTATCTGTAGCTTTTTTTTTTTACCTTAAAGCTTACCTTTGTTACTTAGGTGCCTCACTTAGCCTCCCTGCTTCGACAATGCCTACGCTGTTCTGTATCTCATCTGATTAGTTCACCTGGTTCCTTTACAATTTTTCCTCTCTGCGTCATTACCTGAGGTCATCGCTCCCAGATGTATTGTGTCATACTGCTTGCACCTCAGTCTTTGTTCTACATATATTTTTGTCCTGTTGATGAATTTAAAAGGTTTCTATTCTATTTTCATCAAAGCATTACCGATCCTCCTTTTCAGTTACTCATTTAAACAGCTTTTATAATCTCCAAATCTGATATGTTGGATTGCAACTACACACTTTAGTAAACTAAGTCTCCTTCTTCTGTTCCAGAAAAACTGGGGTTACTATTTTATACATTTCTGTTTTTAATTCTTAACTCTAGTAGAGGTTTATGTGATACGTTATAAACCTGATACGCAAGAGGAAATATTCTGTTAATTCCTATTGTGAAAGAAATCTGGCATACGTATCTGTATATTATTGTTTCCCTATTTTTAAAATTTGCATGTTGTTTATAAACAAGAACTTCAAAAAAACCTACCAAAGCAATTTGAATTCAATGTATTTCTAAAATATTTTCCTATTGACTCATGGACAAGGAACTTTAATCTAGTTTGTGTTATAAATATTTGTTCTGTGAGACCTAATTAGCCCCTAACGACCAACTTACGGTCAGGAATCATAAGGTTGGGAGAAAAAATCGAAGATGTTTGAAATGAGCGTCTACAAGCCGCATGTGCTAACAAGGAAATTCTTCTTCTTCTAGAGTCCGACCAGTTCCATCTCTTGCCATTGAGTCCAAGGTAGGGTCTTTGGACTTACAGTGGGAGCAGTTAGATTTCATCACTGCATTGTACATTTGAAGAATATAAATCATCAGCTAGGGCTAGGTCATAGGACGATACATATCATATGGGCGACAGAAAAGTGTCTATAGTGCTAATCTTTTACTATCGTTTCTAACACCATCTCATCTCGTATTCAAGCAAATATTTCCCGCGGAATACTACGATGAACCTATTATTGTAGTCACGTAGCCTACACACAGCTTATATAAGTGATAAACCAGATTTTTTTTAATCCACATGAAGCACCGCCCTGTGGTTTTGTAATATGATGCTGCTGTACGGTTTTGACACAGACATCAGTTTGCAACATGCTTAACGTTACTTAACTAATGAGAGCTGAGAGATAGAGGTGCAGGAGGCTGAAGTCTTAAACCTGTGGTTGCAACAATCAGAGACAGCTTCACAGGCAGCCTAAGCTAAGGCACTTTTACCAAAAAGAGGGAGTACGTCTGTAATTTGGTTACATTTTGGGTTTAAGAGGTCAGACAAGGAGATGACAATGGTTATGTGAAAACTATGCTACAAGTGTTCCCTCACCATCAGCAACACAACAAACCTCTTCTACCAACTAAAGAAGAACCATGACAAGGAATACATAAAGATCCAAAAATTGCGAGGTAAAGCAAGTTGTGAAACAGCGGGAGGAAGTTCTAAAGATAAAAACCATAGCCCGCCAAAGATAACAGAATTGTTATAATGAATGATGCACCCCATATGAGACAACTTCTCAGCGCCATAAAGAAATCACAGTTGCCATCGTGCATTACCCGAGTAAAGGCCTGATTTTCATCCGAAACTGAGAAGTAGAGCTTCCCAGACCTTTTCAAAGTACTTGACCCGAGCTACATTATACTGATCACAAACACTTCAGTCACTAGTGCACCTTGATTTATTTATTTCGGTAATTTAATTTACGTACCTGTAGGATTTTGAAAAAATTTTTAAGGCTACAGTATTACTAAATCCGTCTCTTCTGTTGTCATCTGATGTATATATTGTGGCACTACAATTTATTTTTCTTATTTGTGACAGCTCTGTAAATATCTCTTCAAAATAAAGTTCAGATAAGTAAGCAATTATATTGTTTTTTCATATTTAGGTTTCAGATTAGCTGAAAACGTACTTAGTTGGGGCATATTACGATATATATCATCTTTGTGATATAAAATAGTCCATATTGTTATATGTGATTTTTTTCACATCGTCCAGCACTATCGTTTGCTGTGAAGTTTTAAACACTGTGGTTTTAGCTGTAGCTAATTACAATGGTTGAAAATATCCTACAGTGTATGCCCGGCTTTACAAATTCATGAACTGGTAATTATTGACATAAGGGCAGAAATAGTCAGCATTATGAGGCTAGAAACCAGTCTTTTGTACTATCCTGTCTGTGCTTAGTACCTTGTCACCAAAACAAATTCCTCGCCTATGTAATGGTGCGGTCTATCCAAAACAGAGTAAACAATTGACACGTTATCCCCATGTAGAGGGAGGGGCGAGGCAAAAGACAGAATTCTGGTCAGCTGAAAGGTACATTTTTGTTGAATACAGCTAAGCAGGAATTGCAAAGAAGAGTTGGAAAATCTGAACTTTTGTTTATTTTATTTTTTTATTCAGAGAAGTGGTTGAGACTTTTGCCCACCATGCAAATTTACCCACTGTGGCAATTGCTGCTGCAATAAAGCTTTTTCTGATTGTGCTGACCATCAACAGAATTTTATGGATGAAATGCTTGACTCCATTGCACCTGCTGAAGTTGTCTAAATGTTCCTCATAGGTTACATAAAAAGAATATGTAACCTTATTCACGGCATTCTAAACAAGTGGAATTGCTAACTCCTGTCTTCTCTCTTTGCCAGGACTTCAGTCTGTGTGATCTGTGTTTTTGTGTGTTTGTCTTCCTCCACCAGGCGGCGCCTGGTTCTGATTCTCCTCCTCACACACCTGCAGAGGGTTACCTCGTTAACGGAGTGCTCTTAAGCTGCTGACTGCCACTACCTCGACGCCAGAGTGTTTGCCGGTTTTGGGTACTCTAGCCAAACTGAGTTTTTTGTCAACCTGAGGCTTAACATTGTTTTTTGGCTTTGCCTCTCGGCAGGAAGTCCTCCTGCAAACTGGATTTTTCTGACCTTCTCTCCCTGGAAGGATCAACTGAGCTTCAAACTGAGCTGAGGAATCAAACCGGAGGTTTGGATCCACTTTTCCCCGAGGAAACATTTGAGCTTCACACTGAGCAAGGGATTCATCTGCACAACAGTCCGTTCAAGTACCGCAGGAAATCTGAGTGGCAGTCAGTCTTTCTCCGTTCACCTACAAGCAACCACATTCTGGGTAACCCTGTCCGCCCTCCTCCATATGAGACAAACAACGGAACACATTCCTCACCTACTGGAGTCTAAGAGTCAACCTAATCTCTGGAATCTTTCTTCACAGTTTTGATTGCAGAGAAGATGCCATCAGATGTTAATCATAATCTTGACAGCTGTCAATATTAGCGACAATGAGTTGTCATATTCCTTTGCTATGTTGCCTTTGTCATTTCTTAGTGTGAGCTAGCACTGGCTTTCCTGAAAACACTTAATTAGCAAATATTTAATATTGTAGCCTCTCAGGTCCCAGTTCCTTTTTTTTTCTTCTTTTTTTGGAACTGCTGTTTCCTTTAATAGCGAGTTTATTATTAAACTGAAAAGGCTCTTAAAAATACTCTTTCATTAGTGTTTGAATTGAACAAACTTATTCTTCTCAAGTGCATTGTCATGACAAGAATCCTGCATTTCATATATATTTTTGTAATAATACTTGAATTTTGACTCACCATTGTCTTCTGACGCAGCATCAGGTAGGTTGAAGGACCAATTGAATGGCAGAGATGTGCAGGCTTCTGAATGCAGCTTCATAGTAGGTGCTTCCTAGGAATTAACAGTTTTCTGTCAATAGATTACCGTAGACTAAAAATAAACTATAAAAACTGGAATTTTGGGACATTCCAAAATAGACATGTCTATATTTAAAAAAAAAAAAAAAAAAAATCTGATTTGTCCCTCTGATCTCAGGCTTTGACTATGTTTCCCCATCAGCACCATTTTCAAATAAATGTCATCTGGCTCCCCAATTAAAATCAACTAATGTCTGTAAAAGAGGTATAGTCACCTCCAAAAAGAAGTTCATATTCTTTGTTGCATATTTCAAACCTTATAGCCTGTTTTTGTAGGGTAAGACAACTACAAATAAACATATACCGGTATGTGTTGATCTTACATTTGTAAATGTAACTCTATAAACTATAAATTAAATTTAACATTTGTTATTGTTCTATGCTGTCAACTGTTTAGAAGTTACAAATACAAGTTAGTAAGGCCCAATCCCAATACACCAACTAGCCCTACTTTTAATCCCTACCTCAATTTTATGTTCTCCCATGAGGGTAGTGGTGTCCCAAGTCACTGCATGTGGGGCTAGTGGACATAAAAAGGGGTAGAGTGTATGAATCTAACCCTAACAATGAAAATGTTCAGAGGCTGACTTATTTCTGAGTGGCTAGTGACAGTTTTATAGAAAACATCGACAGGGAATTTATGAAGCGACTCCGGTTTTTTTGGGGTTATTTTTTTGAAAGCCAAATAAAGGCTGGGTGTCGGCGTTCTTTGTTCACCTGATACTCACAGAAAACAAAGGTTAGCTGAGACTGTGTTTTGGAGCTCAAACAAGAGCAGAAAGAAATCAGTATGAAAACACCAGCAGAGAGAGCACCAGAAACAGAAAGAGGCTTCCAGCTGGTGTGAAAGGCTACAGCAGAAAGAGGTTACTGGGGCTAGCTATAGACAGAAGATCGGATAAGTCCGCCGGGCATACAGAATGCGGAATTGGAGGGTCTATGGCTAGCTGTGTGTAGGACAGGGGTACATTGGAGGGGTCAGCCAGAGAGACAGAGCTAAGAGAGGATACGACTGGCTGGAACTAGCCTCTAAAGGCTAAGTATGGGAGATATAAGGAGTACAGTGGAAGATCAGTAAAACCTGCCAAGCAAACAATCCTGGAGAGGGGGAGAGAAAGCATCAGTTGGTTGGTATCTGCACTGGAAGTAGGGTAAAGAAACAGTCCATCCATTTTCCACCACGCTTATCTCTGCTGGAGTCACTAGGGGTGCTGTTGCCTATCCCCAGCTGTCAATCGGCGAGAGCTTAACTTAATCACCTTTTAACAATTTCAATGTTGTCTTTGAAAAACAGAAAGAAAAAAAAAAACTTTGTCTCCTCTCATATGGTTGTACGTATATTATGTATGTGCATACATACCTAAACACCCAGTCTTTTACGTACCAGAACATCAAAGATGCAGCAAGGGCTGTCCCAATTCCTAAGGAAGATTATGATTATTTTTTTTTATTTGAGGGTGTATTGGTAGTGCATGCGAGCTAGTGGTAGTGAGTAATGGCTAGTGGATGTAAGTAGGGGGTGTTTTGGTATTGGGCCAAAGTTCCAGTTCTGCAAAACTATAAATACAAATTAAAAATGTACATGCACAGATAAAAAAATTATAGTGATGAATCTATAACCCTTGATAAAGCAGTTGCACTCTCTGGTGGATGAGAGTAATAGCCGATATCAAATAGTATAAAAAAGTTGTTTGCATACTATATTTTAAAGAGAACAAGGGTAAGAAGATGACATATGTATGACATATGTAACATATAAGGTTTGGACAACGTTTCAGGTACATTACCGCCACCAACTGGTAAGGAGGTTAACAGCTTCACTGGGGGTTATACACTGCCTGACCAAAAAAAAGTCGCCACCAAAAAAAAGTTCACTCACTCTAATACTTTGTTGGACCGCCTTTAGCTTTGATTGCGGCATGCATTCGATGCGGCATTGTTTCGATAAGCTTCTGCAATGTCAAAAGATTTATTTCCATCCAGTGTTGCATTAATTTTTGACCAAGATCTTGCAGTGATGATGGTAGAGTCTGACCGCTGCACAAAGCCCTCTCTAGCACATCCCAAAGATTTTCAATGGGGTTGAGTTCTGGACTTAGTGGTTTTCTTACGGCTACACAGCTGTTCAGTTCCAATCCCTTGAGTTCCCTTCACATTGTGCGTGTGGAAATGCTCTTACTTTCAGTATTAAACATAGCCCTGAGTTCTACTGTTGTTTTTTTTCCATTTAATCTCACCACACGTTTAAGTGATCGCCGATAACGATCATTCAGGATTTTTTTCCGGCCACATTTCTTCCTTGAAGATGATGGGTCCCCACTATCCTTCCAGTTTTTAATAATGCGTTTGACAGTTCTTAACCCAATTTTAGTAGTTTCTGCAATCTCTTTAGATGTTTTCTCTGCTTGATGCATGCCAATGATTTGACCCTTCTCAAGCAGACTAACAGCTTTTCCACGACCACGAGATGTCTTTAAACATGGTTGTTTAGGAAATGAGAAGCAAGTCATTGCACCAGTTGGGGTTAAATAACTTGTTGCCAGCTGAAAGATAATGGCCCATGCAGTAATTATCTAATAGGAGGCTCCTACCTATTTGTTTAGTTGAATCCAGGTGGCAACTTTGTTTTTGGCCTGGCAGTGTAGATACTTGATTAATTTGTGATTTGTACTTGTATTCTTGAGAAATTACCACTGCTTCTATTTGCAACTTCTTAACCTGTATTCTTACTGATGAAAACATCTAATGTCACATATGTATGAGTTGAAACAAAGAATAAACACAAATCTTAAATGTAGTTCTCATTTATTGATTTACATTTACAAATTCAAACACCTTTGCTTATATCTTAATTTTACAGTTTTTTGTACCCTACATTGTTTTATCTGGACAGCATGGAAAACTGAAACTATATCAACTTGTTCACATGTTGTTTACAGGAAAGAAAGCTGTATTTGATGCCTGTGTTTGTGTTCTGTGTCGCATGATCAGCTCTTTGGACTGTACTGACAAGACAAGTCTAGGGGAAAGCTGGCTGTACAGAGGGCAGCAGAATCATTAATGTTAGTTTTATGATGTCCAATAAAATGAAAACTTGAAAAAGCATGCATAACAATTCTTTCTTCTTTCTTTTAGTTTTATACAAACAGGATTAACTAGGATTGATCTGATCTTATATTATAAAGGGCCTTAGCTGTGTGTTGAGGGCATCTCTTAAAATGAAAGACTCAAAAAAACTATAGTTGGACTAAATCTGTCTTTTAAGGATAAAACTGCTGTATTTCTTTACCCTTTAAGCATTCTCTTGCTTTGAATAGATAAAATGGTTGAAGCTAAACACTGGTTATTGAATGATCCTGATTAGAATAAAATAAATAGTTAAACAATAACAGAAAGAAGTGTTTGTGTTTACAGTCATATCTAATCCTTGTTCATCTTGGAGTAAAATGATTTTAAATTTTTACCTGATCAAACAGATGCACCACAACATCCTCTTCAAATGACACGCTCTTCTTCATTTTCTCAGCCTTGTTCCCTCTGCATGGTCTTTGTGGATGTTCTTCATTTCTTAGGGATTTCTGATGACTTTCTGGATTATATGCCATTATATGATTTCTGTCAACATCCTCACAACTTGAAATAAAACTAAAATATCGTTGGGCATTGCTGTGCTTCCTAATAGACATCTCATTATTACTCCCAGAACTTCCGTTATATTTGATAAGTGTTGTTAAATTCTGAGAGCAGTAAATATCACTAAATGTATCTACAGTTATGGTATAACTATCAGAAAGAATGATGAAATGGGAAAAGGTATCCAACACAATGGTATGGTATTGGGACGCCTTATTCAAGATTTTTTGTATCCAATCAAAAGTGCCCCTCCTGTGTAAGAAAGACCCTTTCCTGTTGTCCAGGTTTGGTAAGTTTTTGATAAAAGGATCTAAAAATGCTGGCACTGATTTTCGCCTTAGCGCCCTTTGAGGACAACATGGTTGACGAAAGTATGAACAAGATGAAGCTAGCCGATCTGATGCAGCCTCAGTGCTGCTCCATGAGTTTAGAGTGGAACCTTTCTTCCTATCAAGGATACAGATGCTGGTCCCCACTTCATGGTGCTCCTCAAACTCTAATATCTGCTCTGAAGACGTCCAGCATCCATCTTCCTTCCTGCATCAATGATTCATGAGACTAAAAGAAAACAATAATATTTACATGTATGTTTTTATTCTATGGATTAATCTGACAATTATTTTTAAGCGTTTTTGCTATTTTATAGTTTTATTTCTGTCATTTAAGCAAACATTGCTTTTGTAAAAATACATTTCAAAGATATACATGTCTGCATGCAACACAACAAGTAAAAGAAGATGCGGTAATACATATTCCAAGCCCTTTGGTGCCGCAGTGACTGTCCAAAACTCAGGAAATCAGAGACAAAATCACAACAGGGTAAGCTAGATAACTCTCACACTCGGCTGGAATAATCTGGCACTGATGACTGGAAACAGCATAAACAGCTGGAACAAGTGGTTTAGATGAGGGCAGATGAAAACTGGGTGGAGATAAACAGATGGAGGAAATGAACTAACAATCCAGTTATCTATTACAACTATCTATCTATCTATCTATCTATCTATCTATCTATCTATCTATCTATCTATCTATCTATCTATCTATCTATCTATCTATCTATCTATCTATCTATCTATCTATCTATCTATCTAGTTATGTTAAAAATATTTTATCTCATATTTTTCATTCATTGTCTGGAAAAATAACCTAATTCTGAACAAAAACATAAAATATGTTTATTGTTGAATTAGTTATATAAAAAATAGTGTTATATATGTTATCAATGATTGAAAAAACTAGACAAACTTTATTGTCATCTTGTACACACAGAGTGAAAACGAAATGAAGTTTCAATGCATACAGATTTCAACAATGAATGAGCAGCTTTCAACAGTGAAATGAAAAACATCCATGGTGTTAAGCATTCTCTGATTGCCTCCTTGAAAAGGCAGCATTAGGCCTTTAAATGGTTTCATTTTTCAGTAACTCCTTTAATAAAGAAGAGCTCAGTGCTGAGGATTTAAAGGGGAACACTGTTTTTTTCACCTTGATTTTACGTTATTACATCATGTTCTACTCACCCGTATGAGTTTTGTGTCATTTGGAGCTTTTCCGAGGATATTCGGTTTTGTTATATACAAGTAACGTCTTCCTATGGGCAACGACTTGAAGGCAAAAACTAAACTGTTCATAATTTATTCTGTATGGTACGCCAGCATTCATAACATGTAGGCCAATAACTGTCCCCCAGACATCTGCGGTTATATTTTTTATATTTATATTTTTAAAAACAAAGCGGCATGTCTATGACGTCATCCGCGTGCCGGACTACTGACATACATCCTGTCCGCTGAACTGCTGCTAGTTTTCCTCACATGCCTGGAAGATGTCTAGTGCTGCTACCACAGATGATCTCACTCTCCAAATGGAACGATTCAGATTAGCTAGAATGAATAGAAGGGGTAGAACGTAGCCATAAAAGAGAGACTTTAATGGATTTCTTCAGTAAAGTTAGCAAAATACACAAACTTTACTTCAAAGAGTTCTAATCCAAGTTTAAAAAGAGGATTTAGAACAGTAACAGTTTTTGAAACAGAGTTGGTCTGGCTTGGTCTAGATAAAACAGTAGTAAGTGACAGAGCCCTTTACCACTCCCTGAAGACCAGTTTTGATTTCAATTTCAATTACATTTCAGTTCAGTTTATTTATATAGCGCCATTTATTTATAAAACACCAGTTGACTTTCATTTTTCAGTGTCATAAATCATCTATCTATCTGGGGGGATAACTCCTGTAATAAAGAGGAGCTCAGTGCTGAGGATTTAAATCAGCAACTCTGTTATACACTTTATCATATTTATCACATTCACATTGAGTTTATGCTGTTTTCGTTTTGCTTTGGGTTTTCTTTTCTTATTGAATGAATATGGATACCTGTATGCCTGTATATGTATGTGTTATGAATATAAAAATTGGTTAAATCAAAACATTTTGGTCTTGATTATTTCATAGAACCATGTCACATCTGAACCTTTTCAGATCTGGTATAGACACAGATTAGGAACACACTATTTGGGGTGGTGGTAAAGAGATAAAATTAATAATATGAGAAAATAAAGTCCTAGGGCAGTAAAGTAAAAAAAAAAAAAAAGACAAAAGTGTCAATATTGTGAGAAAAACATTTTTATTCTTTTTGAAAATAAAGTCAGGAGAATGAGGCCAAAGTGATCCGAAAATAAACGTAATATTACAAAAAAAAAAAAAAAATTAGGAATATAAAGTATATTTTGAGGTCCTTCTGATACTGTTTAAGTGGCTTAGTAACAGCAGATTTGCCACATTCAACATGGCGGACGCTCTGATTCATCCGCAGCATAGGCAGAGCCCATCCAACAAGGCGTCTATGTATATAATGTCTATAGCAAAGATAGCGCATGTAATGGAAACCAAACGAAATGGAGATAAAGAGGCAGGATTTTAGAGAGGCATGTTAAGCTTCACTATCATTATTACAAATAAACACACACACAAAAAACAACAAAAATATTCAAAGGCAAACATTGAAATATGAAACCGGAATTATCTTAGTTTTGTGCTCTGGGACCAGGTTTTAAAAAAATTATAATATAAAGTCTTCCGAAACTTCAACTCCGTTTGGATGTGCAGCTTAAATGACTCAATGCCTTAGTGGTTTCCCCTCATTCTATCTCTGTGCTAATGGGGCCTAAACTATGCAGATTTCTGGACTGCGGTTGTTAAAGAGAGGAGTTTGGGGCATGCATGGAGACAAGGGATAAGAAGAAACACCCATAAAGCCTGTATGACCGGTGGATATACAAAGTATGGTAATCAAAAAAAATGCAAAAACCAGCTTCATGTGAAAAGGATTTCTGATTCAACATATCCCTTTTTGTTTAAAATACAGATTTGCCTGTTGTTGCCACATTTTGAACACATCTGCACCAGTGGCGGCCGGCCCATAGGGGGCGCTGGGGCACCGCCCTCCCTGATAAGAAGAGAGAAACGTAAAATATATTTTTTTTGAAATTAACTCATAAATGTCAGTTTTACTCTCTAGACTGTGTACCTATAAGCAAAACAAATTATATAAACTACATTTCCCTATCTACTGTCATTCATTTGTGGATTTCCACAGACAGACTCCTACCAACTCTGTTCTGGGGGCGCTGATCAGACTGACCCACATTTGCAGAGAATCTGTCAATCATGTACTATTGCTAGGTGAATTTAATGGCCAATCAGCGTCTCGGAACTTTATGGTATTGGGGCGCTGAAAATACTGCGCTTTAACAGGCTTCTGAACCCAAGCGCAGGTGCAGACAATTAGAGGGAAGATGGCGAATGTAACGAACGAGATGCAGCTTCCACCAAATTCGGTGAGATCCTTATTTATCTACCCGTTTGCCAGAAGAACATCCCTGTTGTAGGATATGAACATTTCATGTCATGGTTATTGTGACTGTGACGAATCCACCTCGTCGCTTAAAACAACCTCTCTAACTTTGCGCGCCACACACACATTCCTGTTATACTGTGTTTGTGAGGACCAATACACTCGCGCTGAGATCAGTAGCTCCATGAACTTAAAACACACAAGCTGTTCCTGGTTACCTGCTGGCATATTGAGGGTGCACACTTAATATTTCAGTGGGGTTAGCCGTGTGTGTGTGTGTGTGTGTGTGTGTGTGTGTGTGTGTGTGTGTGTGTGGGGGTGTGTGTGTGTGTGTGTGTGTGTACATGTTTATGCTATGGGGACTTGTCATCTTCAGTCTGGCTGCGTCTTTGCTGGGTTCAAACCCAGTTTGGTGTAATTGAATAAGTCAATGAATCTGTGTAAAAGAATTAAGTTGTAAAAATTATTTGTTTTGTTTTACATCAATTGTTTGTGGAGGTAATATATGGACAAAACTGATTAATGAGAAGAAATCAGAAATAAGAGAGCCTGATGTGAGGGGCTTAAACTATTTAATGAGGGCTGTGGGAAGAAAAGCGGCAATTTTTGTTTTCTGTTTCTTTGTTACATTGCTGGTAACTGGAGGGAGGCTGAGGCCCAGAGTATCTTGTATGTTTAGTTTCTTTTGCACCCAGTTTGGAGTTTTTGAGCTCAATAAATCACCAACACCGGTAACCCGACTGAGACTGGATTCTTGGAGGCCAAAGAACCCCGTCACAGTGACCCAAATCATCACTGTTACTGTTATTATATAGTAAATTAAATCATTACTGTTAAATTGTATGTATTGTCCAATTGTTTATTTGAATTCTTATTCCGGATTAGTTGGAGACATACACTAGGCTATATCAGCCCCACCAAAAATATTTTTCACCAGCCGCCACTGATCTGCACTCATGAACACTTACAGGTCCATTATTCGGTCTCTCACTCCTGAATAAATATCCGCTGTCTTCCACCTGCAGAGACAAATACGCAATAGGAAACTTTTACTGCTCTGCAGTAACCAAGCAACGGTCGGACAAGTGACTCAGGAAACGAAGACGGGAGCTGACTCACAGCAGCTGTGACGTAAAGGGATGTAAAACGGCACAACAACACACGCGTATACACAAACACACGTTAAGTCTTGCTATCCTTACAAGGACTTTGCATTGACTTCCATTCATTTCTATGGCCTTACCAAGACCTTTACTCCAACTCTAATAAGAAGATACCCAATGCTAAACTTAGCCCTAACTTCATTCAGTCTTCAGTACTAAAACTAACCCCCCATCCTCACAGGAGACCTTTCCTCATAGGGGCCAGTCGACTGGTCCCCAAATGTACCCATAAGCCCCCACAAAATAGCATGTTCCTGGGAAATTCCCCACGAGGTAACAAATACATGGTCACACACACACATAGAGGAGGCTGTGATGCAGAAATCTGCCCTGTTTGGGGAAATTAACACCTCGTTGTGTAACATGTTGAGAGGCTTGGAAGAAAAGTGGATAATGAGACTTTTCCAAAAAGCCAGTCCATAAAGAGACACACTATTTTTTATGCTTTTAATTGTAAAAGACACACCTCAAATCTTCAGTGTCCTCATGCAGAAATATAGCCATACTTCACATGAAATCACCTTCACCTAAATATTTATCCTCTGCATTTTCTGTTTGCATGCAGCTTCATATTGTCTTCTAAAATCTCCAGTGCAGCTTCTATCCTTCTATCACTTACTGAAATGCTACTTCATGACCTTGCATAAACATGCTGCAGCAAACTCTTTCCGCATCGAAAAGATGAAACTGCAAGTTTCATCTTTTCGATGCAATGATGTCCTTCCTACGATGCAATGATGTCCTACCTTGCATTCCTTAAGGCTTAGTATCCCTCCTGGTTGTGCAGGATTTTTTAAAAATCACCAGATTTTCTAAAGGACATGAGTGAAAAGAGACAGAGAGATGTGCTGGAAAATGAAAAGAAGGAGGGAGAATAAGCTGCAGGAGGAGGGAATGAAAAGTAGAGACGAAGGACAAAGAGCTTACATATCCAGCTCTATGCCAGGAGGTTTCTGGCCTTCCTCCAGCAGTTAACCGGATGTAATCAATAACAGCACTTTGTATCACAATGTCCACAGTGTTACACTGTATACTTTACAGTTTCTTGAAAAGTGCTCAGCTTCCTCAACATTTTTCAATTTTTGTCCTATTGGCAACAAAGGAAAATTGTCTATAGTTTAAAAGACCCTTTCACCTTATTTCTAAGTGGAAACAATATAATACATAGTATTCAGCTTTTTTTTTCTTGTAGCTTCCTTGCTCCTGCTGCCACCACTGTATTACAAAGCAGAAATGGTGAAAAGTGTACATTTTACCAGCCCCTACAAACTTCAATTTCATAGTCTAATTTCCAATCAGATTTAGTTCTAGATTTTGAATTTTCTATTCTAGTGTATGATTTATTGTTCCCTCAAGTCCCTCCATTGTACCTCTGGCTGTTATCTTTAGCGTCTCCCTCAGCCTCCAATAGATTATTTTCTTAGAAGTACCCTACAGTATATTACGTCACATCCATCTACTTATCAAAATAACCCTATTGCATGATGTTTTTTTCCACCATGTTTCTAAACACACCAGCCGTATAAAGCATAAACAATATAGTAAAGTAAAAAACCTTTTTTAGTGACATAGGGCCGGATCTATCAAAGGTTTGCGTGTATAAAAACGTGAGCTATTTCACTGCGCACGCTAAAAAATGTACAAACTGATCTATCAACAGCGTGCTAAAAGGATTCGGTCTTTAAAACGTGCTAAATAGCGCCTCTTATCCATTTAGTACTTTTTCTGCAATGAATATGCAATATGGGGCGTTTACACGCAAAAGTGCGTCTTGTGGGAGGAGAACATGTAAATATATTAATTTAGCACTCGCAAAGTGATTTATTAAACCTGAAAGCAATTTTGCTAACGGTATCTGACTCTATATTTAACACGTTTCAAAAGAAGGTGCAAATGGTCTGTATGCGTAATTGCGCACACATGGCAGCGGTTATTGTCGCAAGAAGGAGACATCGAAATGAAGCAAGGAGACGCAGAGAACGCATTTTTTCACTCCGTGTGAATATTTTTGGAATGAACGAGGAAACGATCATCAAAGCATATCGTTTATCCAGCATTGACATTTTGGAGCTGTTGGGGGAACTCCGAATGGATTTGGAGCCAGCCACAAGGAGGACCCACGCATGCAGATATCACAAAACTCCTTGCAACGTTGCACTTTTTTGCATCTGGGATCTCCCAATCTCGTTTTTCAGAAGTGCTGTCCGACGTTTTAAATGCCATGTCGCCCGGGCGCCCTACCGGAGAACCCCGACACCCTGCGCCTGTGGAGCAACATGCCAATGCTGCGGGGATGCGTTTTTTTTTTTACTGCAGTGAAGTAGAAATTCAGCCACATACCACCTTAGGGAATAAAGGTTGCCAAAGTGTGTATATATATATTTTTTATTTTTGGAAGGGGTGGGGGTGTCACTGTAAGATTAAAATTTCTTAATGCACTAGTTTGCACAAACAACAAACTACTTTGCCGCAAACCACAAAACGCGCAAAACCATCATTTAAATAGGGCGTCTCCAACAGTTTTGCACCTGCCCCCAGTTACGCAATCGCTCTTGTTAAATCACCCGCAAACCATGGTTCAGCCCCTAGCGCAAAATTCCAGTTTGCGAGCGCAAATTACTGCACGCAAAATTGGATCTTGATAAATCCGGCCCTTACTATATTAAATGTAAACGAGTAAGTGAATGGTTTAGCTACTACATAGTTTTCTGTGCTGAAAACTAGGTGGTGTTTGGTGTTTGATAGCTCACAGTTTTATATAAAACACACATGACACTTACTCATTAAAAACACAGTTGTAAGGGTAGAGAAATGCTCAGGGCTTTGCTGTTTTTTTAAACGGACCTAAAAAAAGTGACCCACAGTAGAGTTGAGTATGTTTATGGGAATCATTGGCCCTTCTTCAAAAGGTGTATTTATCAGGTCACATAGTGATGTTGGAGGTCTGGCTCTCAGTCTCCACTCGAATTCATCCCAAATATGTTTCTATCAGGTTTAAATCAGGACTCTATGAATTTGTAGCAAATTCTTTTCAGTTGATGACTGCAGGGGGGGCTATCTCTATAGTTATGCTACTATAGGCTTAGACTGATGGAGGACATAGGAACCCCTTTTCATCATTCTGCTTCATTTGTTATTTCAATATCTCTGCTTTTTCTCCTCATAGTAGCTTGGACTCGAAAAGGGGAGACACAAGCTGGTTTCCCGCTGAGGCAATGCTGTAGCCACCAAATAACCTCTGGAGAAGAGTCCGTTGTCACTGAACAACACCTTGCTGCCCAAGATTCAAAGGAGATTAACGTAGTTTTCCTTTTTTTCTGTGTTTTAAACCAGATTGAATGCAGTGTTTGTAAACCCACATGATGAAGTAAATGAGAAACTGCCCAGTTCTGGATGACCCAGAGAACAGCCAGGCCCAATTGCTGCTTCAACGCCAACCCAAACCACATTGGTTCCTAGCCACTGTGTTAAACTCCAAAATCACCGGACCGTGACCCATTGGTCGGGCTGCAGTTCGGAGCTGTGCTTCTGCCGTCAAGCTGCTACAAAGCTACCTGCAACCTTAAGAGGACCCCATGTGTAAGCTACCTGTTGGGTGACAGGATATCTAGTCAGACTGATTTTCTACTGAATGGAATCAAGCAAACCGAGTTGGAGTTAATTAAATTTCTTCGGAGGGGCACAGTTTCTCAATAAACATTGCTGCTGCTCCCTTATTCAAGGATCGCCAGACTGGACACCCCCCCCAGGGGTAACTTCAAGCAAGAGTGAAGGCATTGTTCTTTTTTAGTAAAACAGCATAGCAGAACAGACATAAAGGCTTATATTTATTCAAAAAGTACCTAACATAACCTTACCCTTTTGGAACTCAAAGCTTTGGTGAAAAATGTTCCCTTCCAGTTACTCTAATTAGGACATTATAAAAATATTATATTGTATAAAGAAAATTTTAATCTAGAAAACAGTGAAGTAATTGGCACAGGGAACCACATTAGGTTATATTAGCGAGTGTTATATCATACTACTTTGGTTCCATTGCTGAAAACCTGGATCAATAAGCAATGGCTTAGAAGGGTGATTTGTTGTAATAGATTTCCAAACAGAAAAACTACAGTGACCAAACTGTCTCCTGTGTTGAGACTGTACTCTTAGTGATTGTTTAACCAAAAGATTATGCAACACAATTTAAAAGGTAAAGCTAAGCCAACAAACAGAGTTAACGAGTAGGCAGAGCTCCAGTGCAAAGCAGTCAGGACAGTGTGGGTGGTCACGATAAACAGACCAATGGAGAATATTTTTCAACTTTGAGAGTTCCTTAATTTGCACCCTTTAGATGTGTTTCTTCTTTAATACACCCGAGTCAATTAATTAAGCTGTTTGTTGGTTTATGGAGAACTTGACTGCATGCTTAGGAGAAAATTCAGCAATCTGAATCAGGTGTGGAAGGAGGGACACTTTTAAAATTTGCAAAATGCGGACCTCGAGGGTGCTCGAGTGCTCTTTTAGGAACATAAGGAACAATCAGATCTCTGATATCAGATGGAGCTTGGTCATTTAAGGTTTTATATGTGAGAAGGAGGATTTTAAATTCTATTCTGGATTTAACAGGAAGCCAATGAAGAGAAGCCAGGATAGGAGAGATATGATCTCTCTTTTTAATTTTCATTAGAACTCTGACTGCAGCATTTTGGATCAGCTGAAGGCTTTTAACTACAGCTTGTGGACTTCCTGATAGTAAAGAATTACAATAGTCCAGCCTTGAAGTAACAAATGCATGGACTAGTTTCTCAGCATCAGACCAGAACAGAAGATTTCTCATTTTTGCAATATTCTGCAGATGACAGAAGGAAATTCTAGAAACCTCTTTGATATGGGATTTAAATGACAGGTCCTGATCAAAAACAACACCAAGATTTTTTACTTTATTATCTGAAATCAGTTTAATCCCATCCAAATGAAGTGACTGGCTAATCAGTTTCTTTTTCAGAGACTCTGGTCCAAAGACTATAACTTCTGTTTTGTCTGCATTCAGAAGCAGAAAATTAAGAGTCATCCAGGTTTTTATGTCTTCAGACATGCCTGTAATCTATGTAATGGGTTAGCTTCATCTGGATTTATAGACAGATATAGCTGGGTATCATCAGCATAACAGTGGAAATTAATCCCATGCTGTCTATTAGCTCTACAGATTGGGAGCATATGTAAAGTAAAGAGAATTGGTCCTAGCACTGATCCCTGTGGTACTCCACAGGTAACTTTTGAGCATGAGGAAGATTTGTCATTGATGTGAACCTAATGAAATCAGATAGATAGGATTTAAACCAGTCTAGTGCTGTTCCTTTAATTCCAACAAAATAATCAAGTCTTTCTAAAAGAATATTATGGTCAACTGGATCAAATGCAGCACTAAGATCCAACAGGACGAGCGCAGATACAAGTCCATTATCTGAGGCCATAAAATCATTACTGCTAAGAGCAGGTGGAATGGACGGTTCAACTAAGCTATGGCTCTGGGTGAGTTTGGCAACTATATTAAAAATATATCTAGGATTAATATTATTCTCCTCTATTTATGAGGAGAAATATCCTGCTCTTGCTTTACAAAGGGTCCTCTTATACAGCAGTAAACAATTTTTCCAGACTAAGTAGGATTACCGTAGAACTGTGGAGTGATATTTTCTCTCCAGTTTCCTAGCATTTTGCTTCAAAGTACGCAACTCTGCATTAAACCAAGGAGCCAGCTTGCTATTTTTAACGGCTTTCGTTTTCAAAGTGGCTGCGTTGTCTAAGGCAATACGCAGAGAACTAGCAACCCCATCAACAAAATCATCAACCTGTGAAGGAGAATAAGCTATGCTTTTGCACTCTGCAGCACTGCTCAGTGACACAGAGGAGAGAGAAAGTGAAACAAATTCTTTAAAATTTATAACCCCATCATCTGATAATGATCTGCTAAAGTGGAACCTTCTTTTGGGGGAGGAGAACTCTGTTAAAGTAATCCTGAAGGTTATTAAAAAGTGGTCAGAGAGGACAGGGTTGTGAGGAAATACTGTTATTTCTACACATTCTATGCCGTATGTCAGCACAAGATCTAGAAGTATGAAGATAAGAATGTGTGGGACTATTCACATTTTGAACAAAGCCAATCTAAGATAGTATTAAAGGCTGCTCTTAAGATATCACCTTCAATGTCAGCATGGATGTTCAAATCTGCCACTATGATGACCCTGTCAGTATTTAATATCAAATCAGAAAGGAACTCAAATAAAAATTCAGAGTAAAGACCTGATGGATGATACAAAGTTACAAAAAGATGAGGTTTTCTTGCTTTGCAATTTGGATGAGGGAAATTAAGGGTTAAATGTTTAAAAGAGTTGTAATTATTAACTGCCTTTGGAGTGATCAGTAAGTCAGACCAAAAGATTGTTGCTACTCCTCCTCCTCGCCCAGAACTTCTGGGTAGTTCTCACATGGCGCTGCCCAAACCGGAAGCCCACTCCGTAGAACTTCTGTTGAAATCTTGCCATTAGCGTTTCACAAAAGCATGGTTGAAATACAACATCACAGACTGCAGCTAAATAGTTCTTTATATACAACTTTTAAATCCAGTTGGGAAGATCAATTTTTGGAAAAGCCTCAAAAGCACTGAAATAAAGATCACTTTGGTTCATCAAGAGCAGTCTAGGTGATTTCCGGATTGGCCTTTTCGTTCCTTGTTGCTATTACTCTGTAAGAGAAACAGGTTGAGTAAATTCTCTTTATGACATTAAAACCTTGGAGTTTCCCTGATTTCATAGTTAATAAACCTAAAAAAATTAATAAATAAAGTAATAATAACTCCAAAGACCTTTGGACTCGCCTACGGAAGCCGGCAGACCAAACCAGCGCATTCAGCTCGGCAAAGAACTCATGCTCTTCCTCAACACTGAAGTCCTCAGACATTTTTCTTTCGTTGTTTCTTTCTTTGCACAGGTAAACAGCACATTTCTTCTTCTACGCTTGCATAATTGGCAGAGCAGACGCTGAATGCGCACTTTCGTCTGGTTTGGTCTGCCGGCTTCTGTAGCGTCGTGAACGCGCATGTGCGCGCTTTCAGGAAATCCTATACACTACTGTTTATGCTCTAAAAACATTCTAAATGACTTCGTATCGAGTAAATTCTGGATGCTACCCACTCAGGACACTTGGAATACATTGGACGAGCAGTATGGAGGAATATTGACACGTTTTTTGTGGACTTTTATGGACCTTTCTGCCTCGGGCGCCATAGACCTCCATTATTTGAATGTCAGCAGACAGCAAGAAGCCTCCCAGATCTCCAGATGCATTTGAGATATCAAAAAAGTACTCCAGAGTGTTGTTCAGCATGGGGGTGAGTAGAAAATGAAGGCTAATCATGTTTTGGGTGTACTATTCCTTTAAGACCAACAGCAAGACACACTGGATAGAACCCTAAATAATGGAGAATAAATTTGCACAATTAAAAGCAATGAAACAAAAACAAATCTAAAAACCATCATAAAGCCATAGGGTATCTGCTGAGTTGCTGCACCTTTATGATTTGAAAATAAGTAGAATTTAATAAAGGGTAGTTTAGCAGAGTTGTAATCAGCAGAGTGCAGAGGAAGGAGCAGCTATTACCAACTAGACCCTCTAAATCACTCTACTTAAAGCAGGGAGTGTTTTCAGGCCCAGTAGAAACAGGACACTTGCTTTCTGGTATGCAAACAGTTTGCATCAAAATAGTTAATTTACAGCAATCCTGGCAATAAGTACGATACATTCCTCCTTGCTGTATTCCCCTGTGAAGGACAAGTTACCACACCTCAGCATAAACAGGAGACGGCACCTAGCAGTTTTTTCTGACTTCACAAATAAGCAGAGGAGGTACTTACTGCAAGCAGTTGACCTCTGCACACTGCCCAGCAGAAAGATCATGCTGCAAGTGTAACTAGGTCGGAGAGCATGGAGAGGCAGGTGAAAGAGTGTCCTTATTTACCCTCAGCGCCGCTGCTGACAGCTAATTGGATGCAACCCAGGTGTGCTGAGTCAATGAGAGCAAGCCTTATTCATCCTGTTCCCCTAAAAATAAAATTACACTCAAACCTGTTTTCAAGCACCAATTCGTTTTAATAAAGATGATTTTCCTCTTAAAGCCAATTAAACTTAACACTTAAGATTAGAATACGTCAGACCAATAAAATTACATTTTCCATACTTCATGGAAACTATGGCTAAATTCTGCTTAAAGGTTGCTGTTTTCTGAAAATGTGCATCATTGTAAAACATGTTCTGATTTTTATTCCTATGACTATAAGGTCATCTACTGTAAATTAAGCTTTCCAATATCAAAAATTTATATTGAAAATTTCCTATTGAAATTTTGTTTTCATTAGGTGTGATTATAAATAACTCAGTGTGTCATTTTTGTTTATAACATGTATAAAATTAATGTTATTTTCAGTAATATTCCAATTTAAATCCATTTGCACCCTCTTCAGGTTATGACATGGAAGAGGTAGAGCAACCAAAACCATTGCATAGATATGAGATTTTTCTGCTTTGCATACATTTTTAATAACATTCCAGATAAGGTTAAATATTTTTTCTATATTTTAATTGGTTACGCTTCCACTTTTTTGTTCATTACTTTTTTCTGTCTCAGTGTAATAACCTTAGAATTCTACAGCAAGTTTCATGCAGATTTTGTTCTCCGCTGGGCAACAAAATCACTGATGCTGGAGTTTTTGCATCACACACCCGGACAGCATCAGGATGTTGTTCCTAGAGGGCAACTTTGTCACCATTCAGTCCATCTCTGGCTTAAAAAAATGTAAAATGAAAAAAAAAAGAGAAAGGAGATGGTTTGAAAAAAGAGACAGAGAGATGGACAGATGGTGGACTTTATTTTTTCTTCTTTTCCTCCACTTCTAGACACACATTCCCGTGTTTAATCCCACAGCAGATTAGTCAAATATCAACACTTTACCGTACAGTTTCCTAACCCAGAATTGATTAAGTTATTTTCCTTTTAAACTTAGAGGCACATTTTGACTTTCTGTGAATAAATGTCCTGTCAGTTACCTCTTCTTGTTGGTTTCATGGTCTATTTTCAAATTAGGGATGAAACTGATGTATGCAGTGCAAGGATGATAATTATAAACAGCTATTTATTTTTAATTAAAAACATTCTGTAATGCTTTTTTTGGTTAGGTATGTGCTCTGACTGAAGTGCAAATTATCAGAGGTTACAATTTATATGTCAATAATTAGCTCCTCTCTGTCTGACAGGGAACTACCTCTTTATCCTCTGTTCATTAGCTGGTGTGCACGTGTAAAGAATGTGTCAGACGTCCTTTGCATGGTGAGAACAGCCACATGCATTTGTTAAACAGCTTGAAATGAATGACTGTCTGTTTTAAGGCCACAGTGGTCTACTGCTCCAATTGAGTTGTAACACACACACCGCATGTCAAAAAGTGCTGTATCCATTTACACTGCAGGTGCAGAATCATATCCAGCCAGCAGACGGCAAGTGACACCAAGCAATCTGTGAGAGGGGTGTAATTGGAGACGTTTTGCTTATTCTGATCAGGCGGAATACACTGTAAGGGAGCTTGAGAAGAAACAAAATGCTGTCCCTGTCTGAGGTCTGCAAGGCAAACCTCTGTGGGTAATATGGGAACATGCAGCATGCAGGCAGACAACTGGAAGAGCCGTTTGCAGCCTTTATTTGGACACAGCAAAGTCTCGCGTTGCAGAGGCTAAGGGCTGGGAAGGAAATTTGACACTAAAATAACAGCACTTAAAGTGAGAAATATGGTATGTCATGTTGGTTCAAGGGTTGTGGGTTCAACGGTCACACACTGCATGGTACTTTTTTGTTTGACGGCATGCTAAACTTTGTTCAGACAGGAAACTTTATCGGACTCTGCCTGTTTGTGGATGTAATGTGATCCATATGAGTTATTGAATCTATTTAAAATGAAATCCAGAACATTAGGGATATTCTCTGATGTTTAATGCACACTGGATCTTGAATAAGTGGCTGAGCATTTATTTGGTTCTTTTGACAGAGGTGCACCTGCATTTCCACCTTCTTCTTGTGGGGACACTGTCTTCAGTGTTTAGCTGTCTGTTGATACCTTATGGGGAGAAGGGAGAGTGAAGACAGGCGGATATTGAGTAGGAGAGGACTTTGTAGTGAATAAAATAGATTGTAGAATATTTTTGTTCATTTTCCACTGAATTATTTATAATTTCGAAAGTCACAACACATACGTTTTCTGGAAAAAGAATGTGTTGTCTCCAAATGACCTTACAGGACAAATCGTATGATGAAGATATCCCAAAACCTTTTATATCAAACCTTTTAGATCATGTTCTTAGTGTTTCCTTTCCTTTTCGTTCGTTTTTTTTCTCTTAAACTCAATACCTGCTAACTTATTAAAACCTAAAATTTCATAGTTTATTTGCTAATATATTTTATTCATGGATGTATTTGTTTTTATCCTAAACTATTTACTCAACTCAGGATCTTTTTTACTAATCAACCTACTTATTTACTTATCTTACAAGGCATTCCATTTGTTTCTGTTTTTAACTTAATTTGTTGATTTATTTAACCCACATACTGTGTCTTTTTTGCAAAAATATTTGTTTGACCAATAATTTATTTGTATGCTGCTCCCATTTTCTCACTTATTAGTTATTAGTTTTTTTTTATATATATATACTTACTTTTTGATTCATCCATCTTCCCATCGGTCTGTTTGTTGATCCACTTTTATATCCACATCCACTTATTCATTAGCTTTAAACTTATGTTATTATTAACCTAACCGTTACTTACTTCCTATGTACTAATCTGCTTCTTTACTTATTAATCCCATATTAAGTTATTAACCTACTTAACCATCCACTGATATCTGCTGATTTAAATGCATGGAATAACTGGACCAAATGGGAAACTTCCTTTGTAGAGACAAAAGCATGAAGCTGGCTCCTGTTACATGGATTTTATCACCTTTCAGCACTCTGACTGTAACAGCAGAAGGAAGCTAGTGTGACATGTGCTGTAAAATGTGCCTATCAGATTTTAAGTACAGGTTTGAGGCACAAGCTGTGCTAAGCAACACACAGCTACAGAGATGGATTCTATGTTTCACTCTGTAATATCACTCCTGATGAAATTCATCTTATCAAAATGTTCAAAGTGGCGTTACTCGTGATGAAGAGAAACGGAACTACTGCTCTGGTATATATACATATCTTAATGTTACTGTTTATTTTATTTGTAACCAATTTCATTTGTATTTTATGTGTTCTTGGAAAATGTGAAGCCTAACCTATCCAGGTTATGGACAACATGTTCTGTACAATAATATTGCAAACTAATAGCAAACACTCTGTTGCCAATTGCTAGGAAAGAGAGGAATAAAATATTCAATACTTCTCAAATTAAAATCTAGGTACGTATCGAGCAGCTTCTGTTCTTTTAGTACAAGCTCTAAATTAAATAATGGATTCTTAATAAAATATTTGAAGAATATTAAACGTTTTTACTCATTTGTCCAAAATTATATCTTTCATCTTCTGTTCCTCCCAATAAAGGCATGTCCTTATAATTTAACAATGTAACTTGATTAAAACAAGTTAACATTAAGGAAGCTACAGTCTTATTAAGTTAAATGTTTCTGCTCTTTCCCTCCACAGGGAGGCAGAAGCGTGTAGATGTAGATAACCTGCAGGTCTTGAAGCCAACTTTAACAATTAGGTGAACATTAATATCACACTGTAAATTTGTTATCCTAAAAATGAAGCCCTATTCAGGAAGACAACCTGCTTTCAAATTGTATAATCTTGAATTTAAGAATAAAGGTTGTGCTTCTGTATTAGGGCCATTTCAAATTGCTCTTTACAAAAATAAACACCAACCTCTCTCTGTTACATGATTCCACCAAACTCACTGAAATATATTAGCCACATTGTTAATCTAGGACTCAACACAGAAACACAAACTCTAATAAGCAGATGTAAAGAGGTTAAATTATCCAGATGCTCATTGCTTCCAGAGAGCATTAGAAAAAACATGATATTGACCTCTGACCTGTGCACACATACTTACACAACCATCACTATGCTTTAGCATGCACAAATGAGGACAGCTGAGCGATTTCTTAAGTGGTCAGAAGTGTTTATGGAGGGGCTACCTTTGAGTGTCTGCTGGCAGAGCTCTCACTTACAAACACACATATACATAGTCCAGATCAGATGCATTTCAGTGGCTAATCTTAAAAGTGATAAGACCTCCGATCCACAATATTCAGAAATATATTTATGTGGGAATAAAACACTTGGTAAGGTACACTTGGTAAGACTTCAATTTTCAGTTTTGAGAAGAAAGCTGTCTGAAGACTTCTGCAATAATTAAAAGAATTTTATCATGAAACACTTAAACAGCTGCAAGGGAAAATATTTCATCAACATTTGGATGAAAGCACTTTTTCCTCTCTTCTTGGAATTGCCATAGGAAGCTCTTAAATCCTGTATCTGAAAGCAAACCCTCTCACCCTGTCCTGTATGACTAACCTCCAATGCTGACTGGCATTCATCAGGCCCTGATCCAGTTGCACAGCACAGGACACATTTCAGTAAAAATGGCACTGTAGCTTCTTCTTAGCTACATTTCAAACAGATGTAGAAAGAAGTCAAGACACAGAGAAGGCTCCCTTTATCTATTAAAGTAAAGAATACAATCATATATATGTTTACATTGGTAGCAAAATAGTAAATAAAAATAAAGGTAGAAAACTTACCAAAGTTAGGGCAGAATAAGGACATTGAGCACTGGCAGGAAGGAAAATAGAGAGTGGTAATGAGATGATTATCCAGAAGGATGAACACATTCCAGTAAAAATACCTATTAATATTTGGGGGGGGGGGGGGGTCCCCATCTCCCAATTGTTGCGCAATACCGATCTAAATTTTCTCAATATGCAGTAGGCCTATAACATTGCAATGTCAAAGTCAAAGTCAGCTTTAATGTCAATTCTTCGGACTTACCAGACATACGAGGACTGGAGAGGACGTTTTTAATTCACCAGCAATGAAACAGATAAAGTGCACAGGCACAACAGATAAGATCAGTTCCTAATACTAAAATTTAAACATTCAATTTCACTATAAAATATAAAATGCACAATAATATAAAATATACAATACTTATGCTAGTGCAAAAAGGCAGATGGTAATGGCAGCAGAAAAATTATTATTATTACCAAATATGTAAGATATATTTGTAACAGTGAAAAGCAACAGTAAAAAAATATATAGTAATAATAGTAGTGGAGGAGACAGTTTGTCCAGAGTGATTTTTTTTTAGGGGGGGGGGGGGGGGTCAGCTTCCTGACAGCCTGGAGGATGTGGCTGTGGGGAGAGAGAGGGGAGAGAGTTTAGCTTCCTGACAGCTTGGTGGATGAAGCTTTTTGTGAATCTGGTGGAGCGGGAGAGCCTGAACAGACAGTCAGTTTATTATATGACAACACACACACACATACTGTCTGTCTGTCTGTGTCTCTCTGTCTCTCGCTCTGTCTGTCTCTCTCTTTCACACACACAAATGCAGCACATATCACTTTCCAACTCCAAGGCTAGGCTGCTTCAATAGGACCACAACCAAACACAAGGCCTACGTACAGGACAACTTATAAAATAGCCTCTTACCTTAAGTTAGAACCGACCAAAGATGCCTCGGCTCGACTTCTTGTGGTTGCTGTCCTGGTTTCCAGGAAGGAGAGAGGCGATGTCCTGCTTTAATCCAGCTTCTGAAGAATGGAATTGGGTAGAATTTGTCCAGAGGAGGTCCGTTGAGGTCCACAAACAGGAGTGAAGACCCGCTGTCTTCGCGCAATCTGTTCCGCGTCTGGTTACCCATGTTATTAATTGCAGAAAAGCCTCGTTCACACTCAGCTGAAGCGGGGAGATACGTGCGACTAGCTATGCACAGTCTTTCCAATGTTTTCCCCGGTGCAGTGCCCTGTAGTTTCCAGTCTCGAAACGGCTCCATGGCCTCCCTGGTTGGTTCTCCAAGGGCTTTCACAAGGCTGTGTACTTCTGGTTCGCCATGCAAAATCAGTTAATCCTGCTCTACTGGCCAAAAACGCTTACTAAGAGCTTTGAGCATCAGCACCTAATTTGTCTCTGTTAATCGCTTAGTTAGAGACGCAATCACTGATTCATAAAACCGAGACCTGTTTATTTTCTCCCTGCCTTCACTCAGCTCTATGCCTTTAAAAAGGCCAGATGAGACAGACTGTTCAGCCTTCTTGCTTGATTTCCCCCCACCGGTCGTCTTCATGGCCATCAAAACATTGATAGTTTGTTGGATTGCGAGACTTGAATCCACGAGTGACATTTCTCTTTTCTGCAGCTTGATAGACAGACTCTGGAGTTAATACATGACAGCCAAATCTTCCACAAATCCTGAGTTAGCAAGGTGCTTCAGAAGTCCCTTCTACTTTTGCCTCTAAAGATCAATGCGTGATATGTCCTCACTGGCTGTTTGAAATGGAGTGTTAGTGTGGTGAAATCTTTCCATACTGCTTTTACTCTTTAAAGCTGTGGCAACCCATCTGATGGTGAAGATTTGACATATTTTCAGTATTATCTTGTCGAGCTCGGCCTCTGCTTCTCTAAGCAATCTGGCGTTCCTGGTTGACTGATGGTAGAGTGTGTATAACTTTGAAATAAAGAACTCAAACTGATTAGTGCCAGCCACTTCTTTAAGAGCATCTTTGACAGCCAGTTCTAATCTATGCGCC